GTTCCCAAAGCGACTCGACGCAGCTCGAGTTTCTGAAGGGGAACTATATTTTCATAATCTTATATTTACGACATGTCTCATCAGTCAAAACCTTGTTTTATGCTTCACACTGAGTTTATGATTCTAAAATATTAATGTGGTATGGTATCCTCGTGAATATGTGTGCATTGTGTCTTTTGTGTGAATTATTATTGAGACCAATCGTGCTCCATATTCCACAGGCATTGGACACTACATTAAATTTACGATTATTACTTGAAAATTATAACATCAAATTTTAGAGCAAAAATATATTTGCTATGAATTCAGTAAGGTCACACTGACTGCTGAGTTTGAGTCTGATGGTTTTGTAGTTATTTAGTTTAATAGTAAATTGAATGTATTTTTTATATTTCTGTCACAACAATATGAAAAAAACAACAACAACAAAACAACATGGATGCTGTTTACCATACGTAAATACCATATTCATAATGAACATTTCACATCATATTTCTGATGGTGCTGATCTATATTGAGAAACAGGCAAGAAAAACACATTTTGTGTGAAAAGTATAACATTGTATCTGAGCATGAAGAGCAGATTAATCTAAAATAATTCCTTGATTCATAAACTTTTGACAAACCATTTTTCATACAAATAATGGATTACAGTAGTTTCCAATCCTACATCTTCAGTTCCTGCTAAAGTCATAAAATAACTGGATTATACCATGAATAAAATCAAAAACATGCCATAGATTCAGTATTTTACCACCAGAGGATCTGTTTTGTCCTGGTTTGTTGCAGAAGAATGAATTAGAAGCTGTTGGGTATTTGCCTCTGTTCTCTGGCACCTGAACACAACCTGGTGATCACACACACACACGAAAGGCAATTTTGTCTAATATTTATTTCATTTTGTTTAACTTAATTTATAACTGATGGAGGTGCGGGCATTCTTGATTGTTGATTCCATATTCTAAAAAACAACACTTGGGATCATCCCTTATTTAAACAATAATGATGACTTTTTACTTTCAATTATATTGTTTACTTATGCGTTCTGTTGTTACATTTAACATTCTAATTAGGGACTGTATTATTATATTGTAAGGCTGGTGCCAAGCTCGGACCCAGAAAGGGCTGCTCTCTGAGAAGAAAAATGACTTTTCTGGAAATTAGCATTTTAACACTCTCTTGCAAAATTAGCATCCTCATCCAAGATGCAATTGCACTCTGTCTTCTCTGTACATGCTAAAATCCCCCAAACTTGCCCAAAATCTATATGATTTCTAATTGTGAACACTCGCTACACTCTCAGAAAAAAGGTACAGAAACTTAAAAAAGGTACACATTTCAATATTATTTATCTCTAAAGGGTGCATATTAGTACCTAAAGTGTACACTTTAGTTCCTTTTGAAAAGGTACTGCCCTCTTCATCCCAAGATAAGTAAATCAAGAGGTAATAAAGATTTTAGGAGTTTTGAGATATTTTGCTTACTGTGGAGTGTGTGCCTTCTTCCAGTGTTTTCCTGGTAATTACCTTCTGTCCCCCTTGAGATGTAAACTCTGCAGGTCTGGACCTTGATTATTGCAAATCCTAATTGTTAGTTCATGCCTCCATTTGAAGGATGTTTTGTCTTTGTTTTGGAGTATTTAAAGAAATGTTGCAAGGGCGATTCTGTAGCCAGATGAGCCCATATTTGTTATATCAGATTTTCGTCTTTTACTATTAGATTTATCTTTGAGAATTTTAAAATGCAAATTAATTTATTTTCATTCATTACAATTACAGTGAAAACCATTTTCAGGGATGTCTTTTCTAAATTAGTCAGTGATATTTATGTAGAAGTCAGTTTCAGACTCACTTGTATCTCTTCTTGACAATGAAGAAACACAGTAATCCAAACAAAAGAGCAGATCCAAGACAAGAGATGACTGGTATGAGAATGTGGCTGAGAGTTGCTTGTTCTGGTAGAAAAAAATAATGTGTTTTTTGAACATTAAAGCATGTCAAAATATTCTGTTACACCAAATACACAAAATAATGATCTTTAAAAAAGCATCATATGACCCCTTTAATTACTTTAAAACAATATATACAAAGAACAGTTTAATTGTTATACCTTTCACAAAGATACGGTGAGTCGCTGTCATTTTGCCCTCGACATTCCCATGGTGCTTGACTGTGCATGTGATAGAGGTGTGATCATCCTCTTTTTGAGGGACGAAGGTCAGGACAGACTCTGTTTCCCAGTTTCCATGACGAATGTCCTTTATGTTTATGGTGGCTTTTCCAGTGTGGCTCCAGGTGAGAGTGGGCTGGTAAGACGGACAGGTGTGCCGGACAGAGCACTTGAAGACTGCAGGTTCACCCTCCGGCACAGACTGCTCAGCCTGCAGCTCTGGTTTTGATGCTTGCTCTGTAAATGCATTTTGAATGACAAAGCACATATTTCACTTAGTAAACAAAAGCAGAAACAAGGTCACTTTGTAATTATTTAGTCACTTTCCATTTTTCCATTAATTTTCTTATTTTGTACCCTATTTAGTTGTTGTAATCACAGGTTGAGAGCTCAAAAGCACACTTACTTACCGATCATTTTAATCGACACACAGTTTTTCACAAAGGAGTACTTGTCTTTTTGAGATGTTTCTAATTCCACCCTGAAACAATACGGGCCGTTGTCATGGTTTTTGACCTCATCGATCTCCAAGGAGCAGTTGGAACGACCCAGTGAACCAATCAGTTTTGTACGACCCTTGAAACTGTCTTTTACCCTTGTAGAGTCTTTGTGAAAAATAATATCATTCCAGTTGTCCTTCATGTGCCACATAGCTCTTATACGATCAGAGGGCTGTTCTTGAACAGGGTATTTGAATGAACAGGGCAACACGACACAAGATGAGACCAGAGCCTTCATTTCAGGCTCTACATGTACCTTCCAAACATCAGCAAACACGCCTGCGCAAATAACTGCAAAATATTAATGATAAAAGTAAATACACTTAAAAAAAAAACATTTCAATAAGTTGACATTTTAATAGACATAATTTTAAAGGAGTAAATACTGTAAAACCTAACAAATGTCCTAACTAACACTTTTTAATTGACTTAATTTAATTTACTTAAAGTACAACAATTAGTTGATTTTTAATTGTAAAAACCTAGAAATCCGTACTATTTGCATACTATGCCTTCGTTACTCAAAAAACCCTAATTAAGATAAATTGATTTGTGCGAGTACCATTATGTCAAGTTAGTTTTAGTTCCCAGCATGCTTTACCTCAGACTTATGTTAGAATTAAGTTTTATTTTATGCATTTCTGCAAAGGTTTAATATGGGGGTCATCTGTAAGTGTTTAATATTATGTTATGTTTGATTTTAAAAGGGTTTCTGTTATGTTTTTGTTAACATTGTACTGAAAAGAGCCTGCATTGGCCTACAAATGTTAAGACTACATAAAGCCCTATTTTTTAAAAAAAAAACAGTCTCTCTGTTGGTTATTGTTACGGGGCTGACGAGACGTGAGACGTGCGGATCCATATGTAAGCTTTATTGAAATGAAGACAGAGACGTGGTCATGAAACAGGCATGGGTCAGATGAGGGCAAACAGGTATATGGTGGGCAAAACACAAGAATAGTCCTAGGGCTAGAGCAGGTCGACGATCGGCAGACAGAATCAAAAAGGGGCAAGACAAAAGGGGTGAATCCAGGGAACCAGGCGAAGATCAGAAACCGAGAAGGCTAAGGCTAAGGC